TCACCTCAGCGTACTGATGGCGCTGAGGGAAGTGGCCATCGCAAATCCGTCTCAAGCAATGCGCAATGGGTACAGTGCTCAACAGCAAACGTTGTCCCAAACCAGCAGCGGCCGCTGTTGGGCAGGCGGCCTTCTGCCTCAAATGGGCACTGGCCGCGGCGGCGCGGACGGCGAGTCATGTTCAAAATGGGCAGGAACTGCTGTTGGGCAGTGTCCGAACCCAAAATCTCGGAGGAAGGGCCCCCCGAAGCCAGGAGCCGTCGGTGGCAACTCCACGGGGGGCGTCCGTACCATCTGGTCAGCTTTTGCGAATCGACGCCAATCGACGCTAATTCGAGGCTAGTCGACACTTAGATCGACGCTACCTAGACGCTGATCGGCGCTAAATCCACGCTCATCGACGGCACATCGATGCTCATCGACGCTATCTCCTTGACTCCCAAACGCTCATCGACGCTAGTCGACGCGAGAAACGGAATCCAGAGGGTATACTTAGGTCGGGCGTGCCCCCCTACAGGCGGATTCTGGGCGAAAAATGAAACAGATCCAAAACATGTTCAAACAATTAAGGGATGTCGTCCCCGCACTATTCTTTTTCTATTTTAGAATCGTCCTCCTCTAGAGGGACACGTCCGACTGAAGGGCATGACAAACTCCCCTGACTTTTGCAGCCGGAAGCGGGCCCCTTCCGAGTCCGAAGCGCTCCAACGCAAGGCCCGGGGGGCTGTCCTGGGGCCCGGCTGGGGGCCCGGCTGGGGGCCCGGCGGGAACAGTCTCGGTCGGGGATCTGCGGACCCGGGTGGATCCAGACCCGGACCAGTCAGGCCTCGCAGAGTCTTGCAGCCTCCTGCAGGCCCTGCACCCGAGCCCGGGTCCATGCGGAGGTCCCTGCAACATTCGGGCAGGATCCTGCACCAAGCCCGGGTCAATGCGAAGGGTCCTGCAAGATCCTGCGCCCAGGCCCGGGTCAGTGCGACCCTGGCCCTGCAGGATCCTGCAAGATCCTGCAAGATAACTCGGCGGTGAACAAACCTCCCTTTAGTAAACCTCCCTTTAGTGAACACGGCCTAGGACCGAAACCGACGGACCTGGGCCCGCAAAACGGACGGCCGCGACGCCCTCTTGCGAACCGAAAACGGCCAATTCGCTAATCGACGTGTCAGGGTAGGAGGTCCACAAACCTCCGACAGACCCGGGTCAACGCCAAGGATCCTGCAACATCCTGCAGGGTCCTGCACCCCCGTTAAACGGGTCAGTGCGGCCCTGGCCCTGCAGGGTCCTGCATCTGATCGGGCGCTCTGGCGGACGCCGTTTGCACCGACCTCCGTCTCGAGGCTCCCGACTCGGGCCCCCACTGGCCATCGCTCGGACGTACATTCCCTGTGTTTGTTTCGGTTTCGTGCGTGTGTTTTTTTTCTCGCCAAATGATCAAGGATGCTCCTCGATGGTCCTCGCCGAAGAAAAAATGCACACGTCCGAGCGATGCCAAGCCCGGGGTCCGCCCCCGGGGAGCCCAAAGGACTCCGTGCCCCGCGCTGTCTTTGGCTTTGCCTGCCGCTCGCGCCGCCCTCGCCCCCTCGACCCCCGGGAGCTCGACGGGGGGGACCGGTTGCAGGAGGGGCTTGCTCCGAAAACGGCTCCGGGCAGGCCGCGCGGCCATGGTGCCGCCGACGCCGCGGGCACGGCGCGCAACCCTCCGGGGAGGCAGAGATGCGATGCGATGCGATGCGACCACCGTTGCGGACAGCGTCCGGGCCGAGAGCAGACCAGGTGGGTGGGGATCTGAAAGTGTCTGGACTTCTGCAGTGCGAGACATGTACAAAGTTAGGAGGGGAGGGGGAGGAGCAGGAAAAGGAAGGGACAGAGTCCGCGCGGGACGAGGACACCAGGGAAAAGCGGCCGTCCAGACGGCGCGGGATGAGATGGGAAGGTACGCTGCAGCAGTAATGAGGCGCAAGCGGGGCTGCGGCAGTAGGCCCGCGCTGCGGGGAATTGCACTGAGTGGGTTTTGCACGCAGAGTTTTGGTTTGCAGCGATTCATCGAACAATCATGACAACAATGCTCTTTGGCGTCCCCCCCCGCGGGGCCTCTTGCAAGCCAAGAAGTGTCATTTCTTCCGCTTTCATTCGGCTAACTTGGCGCAAGAATTCTATGACCTGCCAGAGGTTGAATCGGTCTCGCAAGCTAAATTTCCGCCATCCACTTGCCCCCCTCAGTCCCATCCCCAAACTATATCACTCCCTCCCTTCGGCCTCACTCTTCCTCTGCTTAAACGCGCATCCCAGGCCAGGGTGGACATACAATCCGCAGCCCTCTCGCACCCCGAGGTCAGTCGGAAGGGCGCGCCGGGCGTTTGGCCTGAGACGTCATTACCATTTAGTTGCCTGAAGCGTATAAACTGGCAACAACTTCACAGATGGAGGGCAAGTCGCTTTCAAAATACGGCTCTCGCCTTCGCGCCGCGCGCAATCGTCTTAAAAACTTCCAAGGGTTTCACGGATTGACGGCGGGTGCTTTCAATATGCTGCTCTCGCCTTAGCGTCGCGCGGACTCGTTTTTTGCAACAGATTCACGGATTCTGAGGGCGGGTGTTTTTCAAAATGTGGTTCTCGCCTTCACGCCGCGCGCACACTCGTCGTAAGCGTTTGCAGAAGCTTCGCGGATTGAGGGCGGGTGTTTTTCAAAATGTGGCTCTCGCCGTAGCGCCGCGCCCACTCGTCGCACAACAATTCTCGAGAGCTTCACGTGTTGAGGGCGGGCGATGTTCAAAATGTGGCTCTCGCCTTGGCGCCGCGAGCGCTCGTCTTAAAGATCTGCAAGAGTTTCATGGATTGAGGGCGTTTTTTCAAAATGTGATTCTCGCCTCAGCGCCGCACACATTCGTATTTGATTCCAGGGGGGATACTCATGGTCAACCTTCAAGAAATGATGCTTCCGAACGGATCACGGATGCCAGGGTGCCCCAGTTAAGTTCAGTTACGTTGGTTCGCGGTGTTGAAGTCCCAGGGGTGGTGCTCTGGCACGGTTGAGGACCGACGAGACGCAACTGCTAGGTTGACTCGTGGCGTTGAAGTCCTGAGAATGGTGTTCTGGCACGCATCGGGATCTTTACGAGGTCGTCCCCCAACGGGGCACGTCCCTCAGTGGAAGTGAATCCTTGCATGAGGCCTGAGGAGAGGGAGCTTGGAGGGAGGGTGTATCCCAACATCGCAGATGAGTCTTGGGTTTGCACTGGTCCTCCTCCTCCTCCTCGTCCTCATCGCCCTCTCCCTTTCCTCCCCCCCCCTCCTTCTCCATCACCCCTCCTCCTACTCCTCTCGTCTCCTCCTCCTCCTCCTCCTCGTCCTTCCATCGCCGCTGCACTCCTCCCCTGCATCCCGCAGGTCACCCCTCCCCCCCAGCGCATCCCTCCTCCTGAGGACCCTCCCCGCTGCCACCATATGGAGATGGTTGAGGACATCTTGATGGTGGTGCGGGCGACGGCGGAGGACCTTCGCGGGCCCGCGCCGGGGCGGCAAGCGGAGGCATGCGAGGAGGAGGAGTCAAGGAGGAGAAGGAGGAGGAAGAGGCTGAGAGAAGGCGAATGACCATGAAGCAAGGAAGACGCGTCCCAAGGCTCATGCTGAGGTGAGTGTGCTGGATGTGCGTATGCATGTGCAACCAAGTATGTGCATGCAATGCCATATATGATTATATGTATGGGAACATGCATACACATATCTATACACATGTATGCACACCCATCAAAACTACACAGGCACAGAGAACCTAAGCGGCAACACTGCATGCGAATACACATGGTGTCTTAAACCTGGGCGTGACGATGGTACGGCACGGAACGCGGGCACGGCACGGCATGCGCAGATGTCATGCAGCATAGAACTCGGGCACGACACGGCACAGCACATGTTGCGCATGTTAAATCGCAGGCAAGGCACGGAACGCGCACGGTGGAGGAGAAGACAGGCCACGACCGGCGAGTCGACTCCTAAGCCTGGGCCAGGGGGATTCATGCACCCATTCCCAGGGCGGAGACTGGCCAGCGCAGGCGTCTCCAGCGACCATCGGTGGACGGACTGCTCTGGACCACCATCGCCCGAAAGGCTGGTGGAGCTACTCCACCTATTCCCCATCCTTGTCTGTTTGCTCCCCCTCCTCCCCCTCCTCCTCACCGCTGGCCACGTGCGACCTCTTCGTCACGTTGGCTCCGGAGAAGTTGAACACGGCCACAGCGAGCATGGAGCCTCCCCCTCCCCGAGGAAGCAGCGGCAGATGATTGAGGCACCCCCGAGGAGGGGGACGAGGAGGACGCGGAGAAGGAACGAACGAAAGAACATCATTGGTAGCACGAGTGTCCCTGCCCACGCAGACTGGAATCGAGGCGTGCAGGAAGAGGATCAGCAGGGCGGGGCCTCCCGAAGAGGCGGCTCCGAGAGAAGCGGCAGCCGAATCAAGAGGAGCCGAGGAGGAGAAGGAGGAGGACCACCACTGCCCCAGAGTGTTTCAATACTGCTGCGCGCTGTTGCATGAACGAGTTTGTAGAGAAGGCCGCTTAGTCGCCAAAGTACGGTTTCGCTTGTTTTACTCTCAAAGCCAGGGCGCAACGATCCCTAGATCAACGCACGCGCATCGCACACAGGAAGACCACTCGGCTGCCGACACTCGGCTGCCTGTTCGACGATATTTGAATATCGCAGACCGTCTTGGAACGTCGGAAAGCGGAACAGGCTCAGGAAAAACAGTGATTGGGGCTTCTCGGGGCCCTTTTGGGAATGATCTCGGAGACCCCTTGCGCCGCGTGGGAAGCCTTTTGGGACATCTGGAGGCCGTCTTGGGCGCTTGGGAATGAAATTTCCCTGACTGTAAACCTCTTGGAGGCTTCTTGCAGCCCCTCGTGGCCCCCTCGCTGCCCTTCGTGGCCCCGTTGCAGCCCTTCGTGGCCCCCTCACTGCCCTTCGCGGCCCCATTGCAGCCCTTCGCGGCCCCCTCGCTGCCCTTCGTTTCCCCATATATGCATGCCCTTCGTGGCCCCCGCTCGTTCGCGCCCGTCGTGGCCCCATATGCACGCCCTTCGCGGCCCCGCCGTCGCCCTTCGCGCCCCCTCGCTGCCCTTCGCGGCCCCGCTGCTGCCCTCAAATGCCCCGTCCTTGCCCCCCGCGGCCAAATGGCCAAATATACGCATTCCCTTCGTGGCCCCCGCTCGTTCGCGCTCTTCGTGGCCCCATACGCAGTTCCTTCATGTCCCCGCTGTCGCAATTCGTCGCCTACTTCGTGCCCTTGAGGGCCCTGCTGTCAATCTCTCTCTCTCTCTCTCTCTCGCTCTCGCTTTCGCTGGTCGTCGTCGTCGTCGTCGTCGGCCCCCTGTCCGTCCCTCTTGGGGTCGGGTTGCCGCCGATCAGCGCTGCCGCTGGCCAGGCCGACGGTCTGCGGTCGCCCCGCCGCTTGCCGGGGCCCGACCTGCAGGGAAGAAAGGTATACCCCCCAAAAGGGGCAAGATCGAAGACGATGAGGGCGGGTATCGAGGGTTTGGGAAATACGCGTTAACGGACACTCGAGCAGATAAGAGCGAACAGTCTTAAAATGATTGTTAACATTGTTGTTGTTGGTAGTGTTGTTGATGTTGTTGGTGTTGGTGTTGTTGATGTTGTTGCTGTTGGTGTTGTTGTTGGTGTTGTCGTTGGTGTTGTTGTTGCTGCTGCTGTTGTTGGTGTTGCTGTTGCCACTGGTGTTGTTGTTGCTGTTACTGCTGTTGTTGCTGCTGATGTTGTTGTTGATGTTGTTGTTTGTCGCTGTTGAAGTTGTTGTTGATGTTGCTGCTGCTGTTGTTGATGTTGTTGCTGATGCTGGTGTTGTTGTTGTTAATGTTGTTGCTGGTGGTGGTGTTGTTGTTGGTGTTGTTGTTGGTGTTGTCGTCGCCCCATCCGCGACCCACCCGCGACCCACCCCACGAACCACCCCGCGACCCACCCCGCGACCCACCCCGCAACCCAACCCGCGCACACCTCACGACCCGCCCCGCGACCCACCTCGAGACCCAACCCGCGACCCACTTGCGATAAACCCGAGACCCATCCCGCGACCCACCCGTCACCACCTCGCGACCCATCCGCGACCCACCCGCGACCCACCCGCGACCCACCCGCGACCCACCCACGGCCCACCCTGCGACCCACCTACGACCCACCCCGCGACCCACCACGACCCACCCCGCGACCCACCCGCGACCCACCCGCGACCCACCTGCGGCCCACCCGCGACCCAACCCGCAACCCATCCCGCGACCCACCCGCGACCCACCTGCGATCCACCTGCGACCCACCAACGGCCCAACAACGACCCACCCGCGACCCACCCGCGACCCAGTTGCAACCGACGCACCCGCAACCTACCCACCTTAGTTTAGCGAGACAATCGGCGCCTGCGGCGGGTTCGTTGTCAGAGTGAGGGGGCCGAAAGGTCATTCATCGTCCCTGGATGCGTGGCTGAAGTGAAAAAGGGGTGAGGATTGTGCTTGTTGCGTGTGTGTTGCTGTTGTTGGTTTTGTTGTTGGTGGTGCTGTTGTTGTCGTCGTCGTCGTTGTTGCTGGTGGTGGTGTTGTTGAACATTATTTATTCTAAAGAATAATTATTGTTGGGCCCCCTGGTGCGCGCCCCCCCTGCGCCGCCTAGGCCGCAGCTACATTTTCATCACTTTCGTGAGGAAGCCTCAGAAAAGAGGGTGTGTACAGGATCCGGTTGTTTTGTTGTAATCCGCTTTCCCTTGCAAAAAACAATAGAAAATGACATTTCTTGTTCTAATATAATCAAATTTCAAGAATCCCTTGCAAAAAATAAGGTAAAGTGGACATTCGCGCGCGCAAGACGAAATCCTTCCAAAACCTTAGTGTTCGCAGCGATTTTAACATAAAAACATCAAAAAACCAATGGTTTTTCAACAAAAAATGTCAAAATCTCATCCCGCGCGCTCTTGCGGATTCGTAGGAAACCCAACACTTTTTAAACATTTCTGTCAAACGGGCTTTTGCGAGCAACTTTTTCGAACTTCTGCGACAACGGTTGCGCACCTGCCAGGGCCATCATCCCTGTCAAATAATACCATGCGGGACACATTCGTTTTTTCTTCGCGCGCGCACGCCGTCGTCGTCGGCCGCGGGGCCCTGAATAGTAGCCACGGTCGTCCGCATGCCACGAAGTGAAGTGTCCGAACGTCATAGGGCGGGAAGCTGGGTGTGGGTGGTGGCGAAGAGTCGTTTGGAAATTTGGTAGAGCTTGAACCGGCCCCCCCACAAAGTGGGGGTATTGCCCGCCTCCTATGAAAACCCTGGCACTGGTGAGAACGGAGTGTCCCCACGTGCTAGTAATTGGTGTTGTTGTTGATGTTGTTGTTGGTGTTGGTATTGTTGTTGGCGTTGTTGTTGTCGTCGTCCCCCCCGCGACCCACCCCGCGACCCACCCCGCGACCCACCCCGCGACCCACCCCGCGACCCACCCGCGACCCACCCCGCGACCCACCCCGCGACCCACCCCGCCACCCACCCCGCGACCCACCTCGCGACCCAACCCGTGACCCACCCGCGACACACCCGCGACCCATCCGCGACCCACCCGCGACCCACCCCGCGACCCACCCGCGACCCACCTCACGACCCACCCCGCGACCCACCCGCGACACACCCGCGACCCACTTGCGATCCACCCACGACCCACCCCGCGACCCACCCGCGACTCACCAGCGGCCCACCCGCGACCCACCCGCGACCGATCCACATTGGTTCGAAGAAAAGATCGGCGCCTGCGGCGGGCTTGTTGCATAATTTGAAAAACTGTGGCGCCTGCGGCGGGCTTCTCAGATGATCGCAGACTGCCGACGCCCCCGCCGCCCCTCACTCTTATCCGCATCTGCGGGGTGCTACGTATATACAAACATACATACATATCTATATATATGTACAAATATATAAACATATAACTAGATACATGTTTTCTGGTGAGCCCACATCGAAGGCACGGCGTGCTGGGCAAAAAGTGTCTCAGCAAAGACCATACAGTACATCTTCCACGACAATGCACGGGACCCTGATGCCCCTGAGGTTGCCTCCGAAGCGTGTTGCCGAGGAGCAGCGAAACAGAAGTGTAACCCAGAATCGGGATCTCTGGGGCGTCTGAAGCTTTTAAAAGAAGCACATGCGACATGTGATACCTGAGAGGCGGTCTGACCGCATCTTGCCACCTGATTTGAGGGAACGCTCGGGCCAGAGCACGCCCAAGCTGGGGATTCCAGCTGAAAGCTGAAGAAGAGTTAATTCGAGCACCATTCAAAGTGACCACCATTCTAGAACAAGCAATCGATAGAAACTGGGTGCACCGGTAGAATTCCTTAGCCCGCCTACGGTATCATTTACTGGGCATCCTTCGGAGAAGGCAACAAACCACGTTGTTTCATACCCTGGGACTTCCGAAGAAAAACTGATCCTGGCTGGGGCGGATTTCGGAACAGATGTGGGCATAAGAGGATTCCCCACCCCCCACACACATACATACGCGCAAAAAATGGTTATGGGGAAATGGGGTATTTGGAAATGGGGCCGCAAACCGCAGCTGCAATAGTTCGTTGCATGGAACACTTGCGCGCAGCTATGGCGCGCAACTATTGCGAAATATTGCGCCCGCGTGCTCAACTATTGCGTCAGATTGCATGACCAGGAGCAACTGTTGCATCGTGGCTGGCCAACTACTGCAAACTATTGCTCGCAAGAAAGGGATAACACAAACTATTGCATCGCAGAGAAAAACTATGGCGCTCGCGCGAGAAAACTATTGATTGCACCCCGACTATTGCACGAGGCACTGTACGATGTATGTGATCGTTTCGAACTATTGCATGAACTATTACGCGTACGTTTCGCGGACCCATTTCCAAAGACCCCATTAGCCCGATTCTGCAAAAAGTCTGCATCAACGTCTCGCATCAGCCGAGGGCCTGCCTCAACAGCGGGCCGGGGAGTCGAATGCCTGTTCGCATTTCAACTGGCTGACTGAAACCGTGACTTAAGGTCGCACCGGCATTTATATGCCGCGCATCAGCATTGATATAATGGCATCGCCTAGACGGCGCATCCGGCAGGGCTCTGTCGGAATGTGCGGCGCACACTGCCGAAAAACCGCGTGGGCCAGTGAACAATCAACGATCGGAGGTGAGGGGGTGAGATCGAAGAGGAACGGAGAGCCCCCCTACCGGGAAATCG